ACGGGCTACGAGGAGGAGTGCGCCAAGACGACACCCACGCAGTACTTCTGGTACCGCCAGACCCTCAACATCTCCCCGGCCCTGGAAGCCAGCGGCAGCGTGCAGTGGGAGCAGGCGCTGTGCCTGACGCTGGCCTGGCTCGTGGTCTACCTCTGCATCCTTCGTGGCACCCAGAGCACTGGCAAGGTGAGGGGTGGGCACAGCCCCCCGAGCCCCGGCGGGACCCAGGGAGGAGAAGTGGGTGCGGGAAAGGCAGAAGATGGGGATGCTGCTGTTTGGGGTTAGGGCATCTTCCCAGGAGCAGCTGGTCCTGCTGCTGTTAAGTTGCAACTGAAGAAGCCTCAACCAAAATGCTGGGTGGTATCAGAAAAAATAATCCAGAAAAGTCCTTTAAATGCAGCCACCTGTGCTGCAAGGCCAGACACTGGGCTGCTGGCCCTGCTCCTTGATCTTTGCAAAAAAAAAAAAAAAAAAAAAATAAAAAAAAAAAAAAAAAAGAAAAAGAAAAAAAAAGTTGTCTATGTCTCTTTGCAAGAAAAAAAAAAAAAAAGACAGGCATTTTTGCTCACTTTTTATTCACAGCAGAAGTTAAGGGGAGGGGGGGAAAAAAAAAAAAGCAATGTCCTGGCTGAGCCTGCACTAAGCAGCAGGCTGAGGGATGTAATCCCCAAATCATATTAGCCAAGAAGCTGCAAACCAAGAGTAACCTCTGAAACTCGCTGCAGCTGGCTTTGTGGGCAAAAAAGAAAAAAAATCGATAGCCAAGGTGCATGGAAAGTGCGTGATGAAGGTAAGGGCTCATCAAGGGGAGTAAATGGGGCTTCCCCTGCCTGCCCCCTGCCCTGTGTGCTGGGAGGAGGCTGTCCCTCTGAGGAAGGGATGGCTGCTGCGTCCCCAGGTGTGGCACAGGAATTCACATTTGAATTAAAATATTTTCAGTCAAGTTTGGTTTTTTTTTTTACCTTTTATGAAGCCTGCTCACCTTCCTCCTGGAGCAGATGAGTTACCTTTGCCTAATGCCTTCCTGACAGACAGGTGCAAGCTGGTGTTACTCCACTAAACGCTGCAGAACTGAGCTTGTAAATGCTGCAGGTGTCTTAAATGTCATTAAAGACATAATAAAGACACATCACAGTGTCTTTATTATTAGTAAAACATTCTTTCACTAAAAACCTAAATCTAAAGTTAGATTTATCTGAAAATACTTGTTTAAAGGTTAACACAAGGTAACAAATGCTTTCTATGAAGCATTTCCAGCACTGTAAGTGAGAAAGAGCTGATCTGTTATGGCCAGTCTTGGGTATTTTTTAGAACAAGGCATTTCCCCTTCTTCCTCCAGGTGGTCTATGTGACGGCCTCCTTGCCGTACTGCGTCCTCATCATCTACCTCATCAGAGGACTCACGCTCCACGGAGCTGTGAATGGGCTCACCTACATGTTCACACCAAAGGTACCGGATTTTTTTCACAAAACCTTATATAGTTACCAAACATATAGGTTTGTTTTTTTAAAAAGATGGAGATATTTCTTTTCCTTACTGGGATATATTTCCTTATTATTCCGTCATTTCCTTATTTGTATTTCATTTATTTCTATTCCTATTGCCTTATTTATTTTGAATTTTTGCAGCAATACCTTGGGTCAGGCAGCTGGAAACCGTGTCTGGGAGCAGTGGGAGGCTGGTTTGCCACCGCGCCCAAGAGCTGCTTGTTTTCTCCTGCAGAAAAAGATGTGCCCATTGCAGCACATTGCTTCCAGCCGGAGCTGCACCCCTGCCCCAAACTCACCCCTGAGCTCTGGTGGGCGCATGAAGGGGCCGGTCCCCATCGCCATCCTGCTCTCCCTGTCTGCTTTTGCAGCTGGAGCAGCTGTTGAACCCCAAGACATGGATCAGCGCAGCCACGCAGATCTTCTTCTCGCTGGGGCTGGGCTTCGGCAGCCTCATCGCCTTCGCCAGCTACAACGAGCCCAACAACAACTGCGAGCGGCACGCCGTCATTGTCTCGCTCATCAACAGCGCCACGTCCATCTTCGCCAGCATCGTCACCTTCTCCATCTACGGCTTCAAGGCCACCTTTAACTACGAGAACTGCGTCAACGGGTAGGAGGGTATTTCACTTTTTTTTTTCCACCACGAGAGTCAGAGAGGAACTCGAGCTGCCAGTCCCTGCTCCTTGCCAAAAGGCAAATGGTGGGGGTGTGGACGTGGGACCGGAGGGCAAAGGGGCAGAGGTGCTGGCTGGTGCTGGCCAGTGCCCAAAATCCCAGCTGGCTCACTCCCAGGTGCCTGAGAGCGGTGGTTCAGGTGCAGGAGCTGCTCCTTCTGAAGCAGAGATGATGCCAGCATGCTGCCAGCATCCCAACACCTCGCTGGGAGTCCCATGGCTGTGTCTCTCCCCTGGGACACCAGAGCCCTGGGGCGGGCAGAGCATCCCTGCGTGGGGGCTGCTGGAGAAGAGGATGGGGGGAAAAAAAAAACCAGTGTTGTTTTTATGCCTTGCCCTGAAAGACATCCTGTTCTTCATCGTCCTTCCCAGGGTGATCCTGCTGCTGATGAACACTTTCGACCTGGAGGAAGGCTCTTTGACAGCAGAGAACCTCACTGAGATGAAGGACTACCTCATGGCCACCCGCCCGCAGGAATACACACAATTATCACCGCAGCTCAAAAACTGCAGCCTGGAAGCTGAGCTGGACACGGTGGGTCGCTGCGGTGTGCTGAT